CTCAACAAGTCAGGACATTTTTAGTTCAAAATGACAAAAATTTGCATTTTAAAAATGTAATATTTAAGTTAAAAAGAAAAGAAAAGGAAGCCATTGAATCTTATACATGAAAAGCCCAGGGGTAGCTCCAGAGACCTAAAGCGAGTCCTCAGAAAACTGTTCCTCTCTATTTTTTCCCTCTACTGTACCATCTTTTGTGTTGATTTCCGTCTTGAAAACATTCTTCTTTAGTAGACGCAGGATGGCATTTAAAAGCTCTGTAGTTTCAAGACAAATCCTGGGAAAATTCTCACTGAAGTCTTTGTGATTAGGCGATCATTTGTGAAGTGACTTTGGTAGCCGCAGAAATAGAATGCGTGGATTGGATGGACCGGGCATCGGCCCCACCCAAAGCTCATAGTTTGGGAGTCCAGGGGAGATGGTTCTCCAAGGGAAAATTGGTCTGGGGTGGACTAAAGGGAGAATGTATGTGTTTTTCTTTTTCTTTTCTTTTTTTAAATTTATTTATTTATTTTTTTAGATGGAGTCTTGCTTTTTCATCCAGGCTGGAGTTCAAGGGCACATTCTTGGCCCACCTGCAACCTCCACCTCCTGGGCTCCAGTGATTCTCCTGCCTCAGCCTCCTGAGTAGCTGGCATTATACAGGCACGCGCCACCATGCCCAGCTAATTTTTCTATTTTTAGTAGAGACAGGGTTTCACCATGTTGGCCAGGCTGTTGTCAAACTCCTGACCTCATGTGATCCACCTGCTTCCACCTCCCAAAGTCCTGGGATTACAGGCACGAACTGCCGTGCCTGGCAGAGAATGCATGTTTTATAAGCCAAACAATAGCTGCCACTCCCAGTGTGTTCTAGCTGGAGAATCAACCTTCACGATCACCTTCCCCATTTAAAAAAATCTATCCACAATGATCTATGGATCCTAGTTTACTGGAAGCCAAACTTGGTGATTACAATTCTGAGCCACGCAATCATTTGACCCCAAGGTGACATTTAATTCAAACCTTTGTTTACTTGTTATATTTTGTTTTCTCTCAGTATTGATCTCTTGTCTGTGACTTGGGTCTTACAACCACTCTGAGATTGGGTGCAATTTTCTTGATTTTTTGGGCCCTACCTACTCCTAACTTTCACTCTCTTTCCTGATCCCAAGATTTTGTGCTTAGTGTTTTTCCTGCCCCTTCTTCCTTTTATTCAGGTCTTTGCCCAAATAGCGTCTTCTCAGAGAGTCCCTCCTGGTGTACATAAAATTGTGGTTATTTCCTGGTTAGTTCATCCTCACTGTTGGCTTCACCTCCTTAGCTTCTACCTCCTGTCACAATATATGTGTTCACCTGTCTGTGTTTCTATCGTGTGTCTGTCTCCTCTTTCTTCTGGGTTCCTTCATCTGGGATCTGTGGATGGAATTTAGTTCTGTGGAATTTCGTTGACAAAAGGGAAGGAATCACAGTTTTCACTTTCATTAAATCAGTTTTTACTTTCATTCAGCATTTTCTTCAATTATGATTATGGTATGATTCGCAGTCTACTGCTTATACCATTAGGTTTGTATTATTGTGTAATCATAGGCCAGTGTCTTTGTCACCAATGCAAACTGCACATATTTCCATGTTATTTTTAAGCTTAGCAGATGATTTGAAATAACAACTTTTTTGCCACTGTAGAGAAGATTCTGAGGTACAACCTATAGTCTCTGTAAGGCCTGCAGCAAGATTAGTGCCCAGCTGCCTGGTGTTAACCTAACCGTTAACGCACTTCCATGGACTTCCCTATGTTACTTCCCCACTTCCCCAGAAAACTACTTTTATGTAAATTTTTGTCTTAGAGAACTTTTAAAAAAGTACAAATAAACCAGGTCATCTTACCCCACAGAGTATGATGTTATATTGTCATTGTCATGTGAACTTTTATCAGATAGTTCACGTAACAGGTGCGATTTATTTTGAAATACAATGAGACAAAACTAAACTGAAAAACGAATTAAAAAATCTCGAAGATCTGCACTCAGATGTTTATGTCTTCATAGTTCCTAGGGGGTAAGTTGCTAACTTTTGCATCAACTTATGACCCATGAAATTGACCCTAAGTGACTCAAGTGGGCTTAAACCCCTGGCTATTATCAGCGAGCACTCCTCCAACATAGAAAAATGAACACTTTTATTTTCTATGTGGGTTCACTTTACATTTGAAAAGTATTTAACATAAAATTTTACTGTATCATGATCTAAGACTCTATGGAATCATTCAAACAAAACAGATGTTGAATTGATACATATAGCCCCAAATTTCTCAATAGACCGGATATAAAGAAACTCAGAGACACTTGCAGTCTCAAGAATGCAGACTCACAGGCTATGGGTGAGCCTCTGTCCCCTGTGGGTGGATTCCATCCACCATGCAGAGTCAGTCAGTCTATGGATGGTCCTCTCTGGGCCCTAAATGCGTCCTTCAAAGGAGCCTGCCCCAGGGCATGGGAACATTAGAAAGATGGTACCTGGGCTATGACGCGAATGAAGAGAGAAATTAGCCATTAGTAGTGAAGGAAAAGCAGGCTTCAGGCAGAAAGAGGAAGAACTAGAAACAGGAATGGAGATGTGCCATTAACAAGGCAGGAAAATAATAAACAGAGTGGTATTCAGGTACCAAGTGAAGAAGGGGTTTGAAGAATAAAGGGATAATCAAACCCCGTTTAATGCTGCTGGAAGGTCAAGGCAAAGATTTGTACCTTCGACATTCAGACCTTACCATCAAAAATGAAAGAGCACAACAAGGCCCTTTGAAAATATAGTCTCAATAACAACAAAAAGGGACATTATCATTATACATTTGACAGGTGTTCGCTCTTTTCCTGAGTTCTAAGGTGTTCAGTTAAGCCTTCAGATGGTGGGATGAAGCGTCACTGGGTCGACACACAGGGGCAAAGTCTCCAGGTGGAGATAAAATGAAATGACACGTTGGGATGCCGGAGACCACACGTCAGTAGCTGCCCATTTCAATCGCTGTGCTGAGAATTCTCACCACTCTTGAAGAACCCGGGCAAGGCTTACTGAGGACTCTGACTATCCAAGGTGATCTGGAGAGAAAAGGACTTCAGACCTCACTATCTCATTGGCAGTGTGTGATTACTTTCACCCGCAGGCCAGCTAAACTCCATATGCACATGGACCAAGGGTCACTCAGCTGGCCTCCTAAAGGCTCCTCAGTATGCCGGCCTCCTGAAGGCTCCTCACTCAGTCGGCCTCCTAAAGGCTCTTCAGTGAAGGGTGTCCCTAAACTGGAGTCATGTTTCACTTTATGGAAATTAAGTAGATGTACAAGTTAAACTTTAATGCCAATTTTTAAATAAAAATTTTATAATAGAATCTATTTTTGTTATTTGAATATCAAGTTTATTCTTGCAAAAATGTAGTCACCTTTCTATGAAGAAAACTGGTGGCCAGGTGCAGTGGCTCATGCCTGTAATCTCAGCACTTTGGGAGGCTGAGGCGGGCAGATCATGAGGTCAAAAGATCGAGACCACCCTGGCCAACATGGTGAAATCCTATGTCTACTAAAAATACAAAAATTAGCCAGGCCTGGTGGCAGGTGCCTGTAGTTCCAGCTACTCAGGAGGCTGAGACAGGAGAATCGTTTGAACCTGGGAGGTGGAGTTTGCAGTGAACCGAGATAGTGCCGCTGCACTCCAGCCTGGCAACAGAGCGAGACCGCATCTCAGAAAAAAAGAAAAAGAAAAAAAAAAACCCAGAAAACTCGAAACTCGTTAGTAAAAATGATTCTGATTTCACTGAAAGAATAATAAATCTACCTACTGAAGACCTGTGTTTTTCAGTCCTGATCTGCTGCTAAACTAGCATGGCAGAGAAACCAAAATCCAAATCCTGGCTCTGCCAGTTTCTGGCTGCGTTGCCTCGGGCAAATCACCCTCAGCTTTCTCAGCTGAACAATGGGGATAATTATATCTTCAATATGGAAAGCCGAAAGGGTTTAAAGAGAAAAAAGATGTCAAAGACACAGCACAGGTGCTGGCACACATTAAATGGTAGCATTGAGGGCAACTTTGTGGGTAACATCATACATTTTCAGGTCATCTTATTCCAAAGTAGATTTGGGTCTTTGGAATGGGATGACCTGAAATGGTATCAGGTTGCTGGAGTGCTATATGATTTGTAACATGTGACAATGAGGAATTTCACTTGCCTGCTTGACCTTCTAGAAATTAAATGGCTTAAAGAGCTTGAAGAAACATACCTAACTGTGAAAAGATGCCTGAACCTAGCATCATCATTTAGGGTACCTTGCAATGCTTGGACCCTCACTCCATGCTAAGCACCATGCTAAGATCTTTACATATAGTAGTATCTCATTTGATCTTCCCAATGGCAGTGTGTGTTAAAGATGTTTATCATACCCATGGCTACAGGGATAGGGATATTAGCAAAACATGATTTTTTATTTTTTTAGTTATAAAGGAAATTTGTCATGAACTTCACTCACTCAGTGTGTGTGGATACATTTGTTCCCTGAAGAAGTTAAGAAGAAAAGAAACAGATGACAAAGTTGAAGCATATTCAGTTTTTAATAATGGGGAATGAAGTGACCACATCTCAGCTATATTGATCAATGGAAGAAGATAGATAATTAAATTTTCATTCAACATTTGAAAAGTGTGTTCATAAAACAAGGTATACCATTTATTAATTTAGAATTTGAAATAGTTTTATATGTAAGAAAACCCCAAAATAACAGTGGCTTAAGTAAAATAGAAATCTATCCCACTCTCATGTAAAGAAGCCTGAAGGTGAAAAAGTCCAGGACTGATACGACAACTTCATCGTTATCAGGAAAAAAACCCAGGGTGCTTCTACCTTTATTTGTTGCCATTCCAGCCTGGAGCCTACATTTTCAAGATTCCTCATTGTCCAATATGGCTGCTGGAGCTCCAGCTATCTCATCCAAGTTCAAAGTAGCAGAAGGAAGACAGTAAGGAAAGACAAAAGGGTTAATTTTCAAACTGAATCAACTCCTTTTATTTAGCCACTCTGAAAGCAACCCATACACAACCACCAATATTAAGTTACAAGGCCATACAGGAGATGCTAGGAACTTTGAGAACATAACTGCCCCACAGGAAATCAGGTGTTATTAAAGAAGTAGAACATGGTTATTGTGTAGACAGTTGGCCGTCAAAAGAACCTTGAAAAAATTACACAGTTAGTGCTCAAACAGAAATTTGAAATAGATGATCTCCTGCTCTTCCACCAAAGTTGTAATAAAATGTTAAGTTCACTCTGTGGACATCTGGACCAAAAAACAAACAAACAAACAAACAAAAAAACAAAGTCAGGTGCCCTCCTCCTTTTCCCATCCTCCTCTCCTCCAAGGTTTCTACTGTTCTCCTCTGCACCACTGCCTGAAAGTGTTGTCCGGTCACTACCCTGAGTCCATCAAAGCTTCATGAGTCTGCACTGGGGTTTCCTGTTCACGCCTTTAGAAGACACTGGATGTCACAAAAAGTCTCCAGTACAGAGGGAGCAGTGATGACATGGAAGAGCCACAGTGCAATTTCCCTGCAGATTTTACCCTTAATTAGGTTGAAGGGTGTGGTAAGCCTGATAACGGCCCCCAAATGTGTCCACATCTTAGTCTCCAAAACCTGTGACGTTAACACTTTATGTGGTAAAAGGAACTTTGCAAATATGATTAAATTAATAATTTTGAGACAAAGGGATTTTCCTGGATGATCTGGGGAGGCCCCCAGTATTCACAAGAGTCCTTATATGAGGAAGGAGCAGGAATCGTGTGGAGAAGGCTGTGATGTGATAGAGACAAGGCAACATCAGCCGGAGGCAGAGGCTCAGCCACGAAGAGAAGAGAGCAGAGTTCAGAGGAGAGATCTGAAGACGCCGCAACGCTGTCTCTGAAGATGAAGGGAAGGGGCCGTGACCCTGCACTCACAGGAGGCCTCTAGAAACAGGGAAAGACAAAGAATGAATTCTCCCCTAGAGCCATCAGAAGGAAAGCAGCCCGATGACCCATTTTATATTTGTGACCTCCAAAGCTGTAAAATAATAAACTTGTGATGTTTTAAGCCACTTAGTCTGATGATTTGGCACAGAAGCAATAGGATACTAACATAAAGCGTATCTCAAACGTGGCACAGATGACTCTGCAGTTGGTGCTGGATATAGTTGGGCATCTGGGTCAGGTAGATTTGCCATCAAGGGCATATTTGTGGTTGACTACCGTGTGGCAGCTAGCTTTCCCTGAGCAATGCCAGGTGCCCTCTGCACCCTGGTATCACAGGCTAGTGCAACAAAACTGGCCTTGAGGGAGTCCTAGAGAAAGGAAAGCACACAGAGGAATGTCAAAGAATAATAAAAATGATAACAGTTACTTGTCATAGCCACATGTGTTGGATGCTTGCAGAATGCCAGGGTTCTTCTAAGCACACCCTGTGCATCCCCTCACTTGATCCTCAGCCTTGGGGTAGGTGTTGGAATGTGTCCATTTAATAGAAGAGGAAACCAGAGCACAGAGAGCTTCAGCCACTAATATGGTTTGGCTGTGTCCCTACCCAAATCTCACCGTGAACTGTCAATAATCCCCACGTGTGAAAGGCGGGGCCAGGTGGAGATCACTGAATCATGGGATCTGTTTCCCCCATTCTGTTCTCATGGTAGTGAATAAGTCTCATGAGACCTGATGGTTTCATAAATGGGCATTCCTTGACACATGCTGTCTTGCCTGTTGCCATGGAAGATGTGACTTTGCTCCTCATTCACCTTCTGCCATGATTTTGAGGCCTCTACAGACATGTGGAACTGTGAGTCAATTAAATCTCTTTCCTTTATAAAATATCCAGTTTCAGGTGTGTCTTTATTAGCAGTGTGAGAAGAGACTAATACAACCACCTCCCCAGGGTCTCAGAGCTAAAAATGTGCTAAATCAAATTCAACCCACTGGTGTCTGATTCTAGAGCCAGGGCTCCTTGCTTCTGTGCTGTGTGGTTGCCCAGGGATGGGCTCATCTTCTTCCCCTGCCTTCATTCAGTCATGCAAAATGCAATTGCCCCACACTTAGAGGAACAGAAGGTGGAAGGCAAAGAGATAGTGTAAAAACTAAACACAGAAGAGAAAAGAAATGAAGCAAAATGATGGGGAAGGAGGGAGTTAGATGGAAAGAACACCCCTCAGGTTACACCAACGATCGGCCTCAGAGCTGAAAAATGATTCTGAGAAACAATCTTCTCCTTTTCCCTTACAACATGCAATATCTTCGCCTCTCCACACTTACCTGCAACTGTAGTTTAAACAAGACTCATGGAGGGGCTCCAGACACACATCAACTCTGCTATTTAGGTCCATATCCATGCCTGGAATGTTGTGCTTTGACTTCCCAGGATAGAAAATGCCTGTGTGTTCCTCAAGACCTCATTGCTCAAGGCCTGGCAGAATGACTCGGTTTCTTTCTTGCCTCCCCAAGCCCTACCCTAAGTGTTCCCACAGCATGTGGTCCCCATGGTTCTCCAGCTTTTCCTGGCTGGACTGGAAGCATTCCTTTTCATGTGACTGCTAATGCATCTAGTCTGATGGATTGTCAGACTCATCTATTTCCAGTGCCCATTACCTCTTATCTTGCCCAGGGTTGGGAATATAGGAGACACACAATACATAATCATTACGTTCTAGCATTTCCTTCTCATTGCTGCAAGGATTTCAAGAAGTAAGCTGTCTGCAGAGTTAGAGCTGCAGTGAATGGTCCTGTGCCTGCCCCCACAGCCTCTCACCTGACAAATGTCCCAGCAAAACCACAACCCCCTCCCTACGTACTAAGATTCTTGAATGCAGTAAGAGAGTAAATAGGGCTAAAAGCAAAAGGGATTACATTGTTCTTTGTATCTCAATTTGTGCACCTTTTCCCCACCAATGTATTTATCAAATATCTACCATGTATCAAGTACTATTTTAAAGAACTTTATTGAGGCCTACCTGATATAAAATAAAATAAACATATTTTAACAGATAATATTTTTTAAGTTTTCATGTGTATGTAAACCTGGGAAACTATCACTACCATCAAGATAATGGCCAATCAAGAAAACATGCTGGTGAGGCTGCAGGGAAAAGGGAATGCTTCTACACCGTTGGTGGGAAGGTAAACTAGTTCAGCCACTGCGAAAGCAGCCTGGAGATTTCTCAAAGAACTTAAAACAGAACTACCATTCCACCCAGCAATCCCACTACCGGGTCTATATCCAAAGGAAAATAATGTATTCTATCTAAAAGACACACAAACCCATACGTTCATTGCAACGCTGACATAGGATCAACCTCAGTGTCCATCAACAGTGGATTGGATAAAGAATATGTGGTATCTGAACACCATGGCATACTATGCAGCCACAACATAAAACAAAATCATGTTCTTTGCAGCAACATGGATAGAGCTGGAGGCCATTATCCTAAGTTACCTAACTCAGGAACAGAAAACCAGATATCACATGTTCTCACTTATAAGTGGGAGGTAAACATTGAATACACTTGAACACAAAGATGGCAACAAGAGACACTGGGGATCACTAGACCAGGAGGGAGGGAGGGAGAGGGCCATGGCCTGAAGCATCACCTGTAGTTGGCAACTATGCTTACTGCCTGGGTGATGGGATTGCTGGGACCCCAGGCCTCAGCGTCAAGCAATTTATCCATGTAACAAACATGTACATATATTAAAAGTTAAAATTTTAAATATATATAATGACCAAAAGAGCTCGTTTGTCACCCTGAGGTCAGGAGTTTGAGACCAGCCTGGCCAACATAGTGAAACCCTGTCTCTACTAAAAATACAAAAATTAGCCAGGCTTGGTGGTGCATGCCTGTAATCCTAGCTACTCAGGAGGCTGAGGCAGGAGAATGGCATGAATCCAGGAGACAGAGGTTGCAGTGAGCTGAGATCGTACCGCTGCACTCCAACCTGGGTAACAGAGCAAGACTCTGTCTCAAGAAAAGACAAAAAGGTTCATTTGTGCCATTTTGTAATCCCTCCTGCTCACCTCTCCCTGGAGTCCCCACTCCCCAACGGCACACAGTTACTGATCTACTTTCTTACACTGTAGATTTGTTTGCATTCTCAATGATTTTTAAAAATGCAATCATACACTTTCTGCATAGCTTCTTTGATTTAGCATATGTCCAGATCTATCACTATTACAGCATATATCAAAAGTAACTTCCTTTTCATAGCTTAGTAGCATTTTGTTATGTGTATTAACATTTTTTTACAGCTTCATAGTATTAGTTTTACCATTATTTGTTTATCTAGTCACCTATTGATGGGCATTTGAGCTGTCTCCAGATTCATGTTAGTTCAAATAAAGCTGTTAAGAACATTCATGGAAAGTCTTTGTATGAACATACAATTACATTTCTCTTGGGTAAATACCTAGAGGTAGAACGGGTTCATCACAGCAAAGTTGTATGTTTAATTTAAAAAAAGTGGCTATACTATTTTACCTTCCACAGCAGAACATTCTAGATTCTCCAAATACTTACCAACACTTGCAAAATCTTTTTAAAAAATTTAATAGATTTTTTAAATTTAAATTTTTAAAAGGTGCCATTCTAATTGGTATGTAATGGCATCTCATTGCAGTTTTAATTTGTGTTTACCCAATGACTAATGATGTTGAGAGCATCTTTCTGTGTTCACGAATCCATTTGCCGTCTATCCATTTTGCTATATGAGATGTTTGTTACAAATGGTGCCCTTTGAACTGGAGCTCACATTGAAATTACGGAGCAATCAGCTGCAGCCTGGGAGGAGAAAGCTGAATAGATTGGCAGTAACACGAGAACGAGCCTTGTGGTGAAAAATGTAAGTGGCTTCTATCCAAATGACTTCTTAATTGTTAGTCATTTGCGATGAATGAGCTGTTCTGCCACTAACAGGAATGGGCTGTGTGTCCTGCCTGCGATGGTGACAATTGCTGGGGCATGGTACCAAAATGAGCAAAGCCTTCCTAATAGAGGTCATTACCCTCCTCACCGAGAGGCAAAAAGACTACACAGGAAGGAGCTGGAACTCCAGCGGTACCGGCTCTCCGGTCATTCACTTCCCGACTGGCTGAGTGATCATCACTGGAACTCCAGCGGTACCGGCTCTCCAGTCATTCACCTCCTGACTGGTTGAGTGATGATCAGTAAATGCTCTCAGAACTCCGGAAAGAGCCAGATAACAACCTGAGCAAAATCTCCCTCTCCACCTGGGTCCCGGAGGTTAAGACGGACAAGGTGATCTACAAGGTCACCATCCAAATCAGGCACGATGAACTTTTATCCCATGAATTTCAGCTATTTGAGGCAGGGGTAAATGTGAAGGAAAGGCAGGTGGGTGGGTAAATGACAGAAGCCAGCCTGGTTGGGGTGGAGGGAGCCACAGAGCTAAGTATCCTGCTATGGAGAAGAGGGCAGTGGTCGAAGTGTGGATTCTGGCCAGCACTCCTCCTTTATTCTCTCAGTGGTGTCATCTCCACTTGGCAGACAGAAAAGTAGAAGCTCAGAGAGGCTCAGGGATTTGGCCAAGGTCAGACTGCCACTACCTTGATGTCTGACCTTGGCAAGTTCTTCAAACTCTCTGCCTCAGCGTCCTTGCTTATAAAATGGAGACACAATAGCACCTATTCAGGAGACTTTTGCAGAAGCCTCCACGAGAAAATACATGTGTGAGTGATGATCGTGGATAATCTCCAGTATGATGGAGGGAGGGTCTGGGGTTTCTGTTTATTGTTACCAGTGAGTAATGTAAATCCTTGCTGAATGTTTTCTTTTTTTTTTTTTTTTATGTTAATCCATAATGCTTGACTCCAAATAAAATTCCTAAAATCAAACCTTGAAAATTAAGTCAAAAATAGAAAACTATTTAGTGGGCCAAAAGATGTTGTGTCGAGCCCACAGGTTTACAGATTGCAA